TTGCCAGGATCTTGGAGATGCAGGAATTCAAATCTGGGAGTCCTGGGATAAGGTGCTGACTAAGCAGCAGTGAGGCCCCCCCCCCCCCCAGGATCCCTGCAGAGCCTCTCCAGGCTTCTGGCCCAAAGCCCAAAGCAACTTTAGTGAAAACCGAGGAGCCCACTACTACACTAAGGGTAAGACTTAAGTATCAACCCAGCCCAGGAAGGATGCCCGGAAAGCCCAGAGGAGGCACCTCTGGAAAGCTCAGCACACATCGCGCACTGAGGGCCAGGAAGAGACCTGAGACGAGCCTCAGCCTGAGAGTCCCCCAATGAAAGGGGACTGAGTGGCGACCGGACGCAAGGGCCTGGAAGCCCCAGAGACCTCGCCCTCCACGACTGCAGAGGAATTGTGCACCTAACACCAGTGGGGGCCTGGCTCTCCTAAATCTAGTCGGCTCAGGTGGCTTTTAAGTTCATCCATGTTCTCGTGCGTGTTCTAACCCCACACTGAGGGCCGGTGAACTCGAAGCCTTTTTGGGGCCCTGGGGTAGGAAGGAAGATAGCCTGGGGGTGGGAGAAGGTAACGTCTGCGAGACGGGTACGTGTCCTGCGACCCTGGGGAAGGGTGACCTGCAGGTGGTAAAGGATCCTGGTTTAAAGGACAGAAGGAAGGGACCTCACAGCTGGTTGATGAACAAGACCAAGTGGGTTTCAACTGCAGCAAGACGAACTGTTGGGGACAGGCGGGCGGCGGGAAGAACTTCCCAAAACGAGGGTGCTTAGCATTGGAAGGAAGGACTAAGACAACACAAATGTTTTTTCTCTGAAGAACTTTTTAAATAAGATGTACACCCACCAAATCATGTGCTCCATGGGGGCACATGACTGTGCTGGGGGATGGGGGGCGGGGGCAGAATGAGATCATCTTAAAGGTCCTTTGAGGTGCACAGTCGAGACTGTAACCTATAGGGCGAGGTATCCGAGTGGGCTGGGACTCCACAGGAGAACGTGGGAAAGGCAGAGGGTGACCTAAGAGTCCTCTGGATGGGGACTTCAAGCTCCAGGTCTCAAGAAACTGAGGCAAGGAGTCACACCCTTAGACCCTCATCCCCTGCCCCCAACTCTGTCCTGGAGATACCAAGACCTCTTCTCACACAGAACTCCAGACTGATGGTCATTCCTCTCGAAAGCCAACAAGCAACCTCGGGGAACCTCCAGGGGCAGTGAGGAGGGGAATTCCTTCCCTGGAGCCTGTCCCAAAAGATGTGGGGCCCCACAGAGCAAGCAAGCAGGGCCATGGGAACACGAGGCTGGCTGGGGTAGCAATCTGCCTGAAGCACCGAAAGTGCCACTTCTGCTGAAGGCTACGGCAGGGGCCCGGGGAGAGGCCATGTGTTCTCTGGGCTGACACTTATGTGAGGGTGTGGGGGACGGCAGACCCTGCCACAAATGTGCTTACCAAGCAGATAAGACTCACAGGTAGCCACTCACCATAGGCAAGCAGCAGCTGCTGCTGCAATTTTTAATGGATAAATCCCACCTTAACCTTGTTTCCTCCTGAAATCCTGGGATCATGGGTGATAAACTTTGATGTGTCAATTTATCAAACTGATGGACTTGGGCCGGCCCGTGGCTCACTCAGGAGAGTGCGGTGCTGATAACACCAAGGCCACGGGTTCGGATCCCATATAGGGATGGCCGGTTGGCTCACTGGGTGAGCGTGGTGCTGACAACACCAAGTCAAGGGTTAAGATCCCCTTACCGGTCATCTTTAAAAAAAACAAAACAAACAAACAAAAAAAACTGATGGACTGAGTGAGGTCCATGGGATTTTAGGAACTGTGTCCCATCGGCCTCAAAAGCCCCACCCATCCCCCAGAGCCTGTTGACTGTTCCAGGGTCAAAGGGGGCTCCTTTTGGATAAAGTCTGGGGGAGATTCCTGAGCGGGTCTCCTGGGACTTTTCACAGAGATCCACCCTCTTTCCCAAGCCCCTGTCTCATCCTGCCCCTTCCCAGGCTGGCCTCACCAGAGGGGACTGACAGAGAACACCGACCACCATAAGCAGCAGACCTGCCTTTGGAAATGACACACAGGCATTGTGGAACAAAAAGATGCTCTCTTTATGAAAGGTCTGTCTACAAACTCTACCAGGGTTCCCTCAAGGGACAGCCTGGTCCCTCCATTACCTTTCGTAAGCAGGTTCCTGGAATCCAGATCTGACTTTTAGAAAAAGACAACAGGCAGAATGCTCAGAACCCTGACCTTTCCCTAGAAGCTGGCACCGCCCAGCCCCCTCCCACAGGCAGGCTGCACCCTGAAGAAGCCTGCTGGGAGGGGGGTTAAGCTTGTTTCTGCAGCGGTCCCTTCACGAAGAAGGTTCAGTCACCCCCCAACCTCAGCCCAAGAGGCAAGACAAGATCAGCTCAGAAGTACAAGCTCGGTCAGGCCCACAGGACGTAATCACCAGACTGGAGGGGAAACAAGACTGTCACTGGTGGGAGCTGGGCGTACTCCAGTCACCCCAGTTTTCTGGCTTTCTAGCTTTTCTCTCCCATGACTACAAGAACCCCATGCACTATTGTGGATTTAGAAGGGAGGCACCAAGAACCACCAAATACATGAAGAATCTCAGAGAATGCTTTAGTTCAGAAGCTCAAAGGAGACATTTGTTCTAGGCGAGGAAAGATGCATTCCCTGAGAAGACATCAGAAGAAAACCCTCCACAAATCCTGGCTTCAGACTATTCCTGCAAGAGGAGATGGGCTGCTCTGGAATTCAAGCAAGAAGAACCAGAATGCCCAGACTTTTCTGATGTTCACAGAATTCGCACGAGATAACGAAATGTGAACAGATAATCAATGGGCTGAGAAAATACTGTACAGTAATAGGCAAAATATTTACTTCCAAGTGTCAAAGGAAAAGACTACTAGAAATTTGTTTACTATTCCTTAGTTTGTTATTTATGTTTTTTATGACCTACTTTAAAGTGTACTATTACACAACTTAACATATAACAACACACTTAGTTTCATGTTAAAGAGTTATTTTTTTAAAGTTATGGACTATTATCCCCAGACTACTTAATCATCCCACACCAAACTGCTGCCCTAATAATCAGCATCACATTACCTGGTACAGGTATATTCTAGAGAGGAACTGTCCTCAACTAAGGTGATATGCAACATCCAAATGTGAACAAATGCTACACCATGGTTCTGCAACCCACAGATTCATATGAATGTCACATTTTTAGTCAAACATGTCCCAAATCTAGCTAGAATCGCCCAATTCCTTCCTCCCATAGCTACCCACTGCCTAGTCTTTTCCCTTGTCCCAAGTCAGCAACCAAGCCTGGTGGTCCTTCTAACAAGGCCTCCAGATCGGCGAGGACCTCAGACCATGGATCCGAGCTTCCCCATGGTGGCAGGCGGGGCTGGGTACCAGACAGGGAAACTGACAACCAGGCCATGCAGCCCCTCTCTCCACTTCTGGTGTTCCCTCCAGGACCCCCTGCTCCACGGGCAACCTGGACACTGCTAACTCACTCCCCTGCCGCATGCTTCACTCTCACACCTTGAAACTTCTGCATGAGCTGTAGCCACCTTCCTCAACAATACCTGCCCTTTGCCAGTCCTCCCTGAGCCTTTCCCGTGTGGACCCCCACTCAACCCTAAGACCCTGGAGCTCAAGTGTCTGCTGCTCAAGAAAGCTTTCTCGGTGTCCTGCAGTCCCATCTGGAGCACCAGAGAGTGCTGGTCAGATGGCAGCTGTTGGAGGCTTCTTTTTTAGGATTTTCCCAGACGGACTATGAATTCCTTGAGGTCAGGAATGGGATTTCCTTCTCTTAGAAAACTCACAATAGTGAATAAGGTGACTGATGGACAAATGTACGGCTGCAAACAGCACCATCTACTCCTAAAAGAATCCAGAAACACCACATCAAGTTCATGCCTTTGAGGGTTGTTTCTCAGAAACTAGACCAGGACCATGAACTTTAAAGCACAAACTACATAAACAAAATCTTGATGCTCCCTACCCATTCTAAATCACTGCAGGGAAGTGGGGAGAAGAGGAAAGCAGAGAAAGAATCAGAATCAAAATCAGCCTGTCTAACAATACTTGGTCCTCACGACACAAGGAAAATCAATCACGCAGACCAGACCCCATATGCATGTGCGGGCACGTGTTGCATACACACATGCACACAAACATGCACACGTGCATTGGACGCTGCTGGCTTTCTAGTTCCATCAACCCAGGTTTGGTGAGAGAAAGACAGAAGAGAGGATGCAGGGCTCTGGGCATGGGATTTGTAAGATCTGCCCCCATCGGTGTGTGCCAGCCACAGAGACAGTCGCGACAAGAAGAGCGAGTGAGAGAGAGTCCTCTTGTTTTACCGGCCCCCTCCCCCGGCCTGCTTTGCTTTATGTAGTTGCCTTAGAGGTGGTTGGGGGCAACTCTGGTCAGGCAACCCAGGTCAGGAGAGGACCACCACCACCACCGCCACCACACCCAGCTGGTGACCTTGTCCTCAGACGTGGATGAAGGAAGCGTGAAATGGTTGCAACAGGGATGAGTGAAGGGAAGAGGGCATGGGGGGAGGTGATATGAGATCTGGGAGGGAGAGCAGGCTGCCACACGCACACACACACGTATGCACACGCACGCACGCACACACGCATGCACCACCCTCCAAGCATTATCACCAGCCGGGACACAGAGGTGGCTTCAGAGACAGGTAAGGCCCGTGTCAACAGGCATGAAGCCCAGGTCGAAAGCCCTGAAGAAGAAGAGGAGAAAGAGGAGACAGAAGAAAGGGAGTTGGAAAGACCACAGCAGAGCACTCAGCCCAGCTGTGTACATGGGGTAGCAGACTGTCTGGGGTTATCAGATTATGAGGCAGATCCAGGCAAGCAGAGAGACCCTGCTCACATCCCAGCTAAGAGGTGGAGAGTGAAGGGGGCCATAGGAGGTGGACGAGAGAGAGCAGCAGTGGAGGTGGGGCAAAGAGGAAGCAGGAAGCAGGCCACAGAAGGGGCTGAAAGGGGCTGGCAGCCGGCGGGGCCGGGACACCTATGAGAAGGAGCTTCCGGATGGGGCTCCTCTCCTGTCTTCAGTACAAGGCAGTGAGCCCTGGAAGGAAGGTGAGGAGGGGCTTAGGACCCCATCTGGGCAGGGAACAGGGCTGCTACTAGCCCACATGATGTCTTTGTGTGATTTTGTAAAGGTGCCTCTTCCCCAAGACACTTCTATCAGAAAAATGTCATGCTGATTTTGCTATAAGACACTTTCAGTGCCATCTGCAGGATAATTTTAGTAATAAATTCTCAGACCTTCCTTGTCTATGGCACTCTTGTGTGGTATGCAACCTGCACAACTATCCTGGCTGGGAAGGATCAGGCAGGGCTCTGGCCTGGACACCAGGGAGAAGGCAGGAAGACATCTCCTTGCCCTGGCTGCTGGTTAAATTTGAGACAATGTCCTTGCTCAAGCAGAAAGGAGGAAGAGAGAAAAGTGAAGGGGTCCCGGATGTTTAAGGGAACGGTGAGGAAGCATAGCCAAGAGCTGTGCTACTTGGGATAAGGGCTCTTGATACAGGTCCAGGAAAGAAGCTGAGACCACTGCCCAGTGCACAGGGACAGAGACACGGGAGGCCCTTCAGAAGCTAGGGTTCTCTGGCATCTTCGAGTGTCCTAGCCAAGGTACAGAGAGGATCCTGCCCCTGCAAGAGGAGGAAGGGCTTCTCTCATTCCTCCTTTCATTCCAGGGCCTGCTGCTGGAGTGTCCCGGGAGGACAGAAGAGATGGGCAAAAGGGCAGCAGGGAGAGTGGGCAAGGCCAAGGGAGAGCTCACCTTCTGCGCACCCGAGAGGGCGTGGCAGTGACATGAAACATTAGGCCACATGGCCTTCCCATCCAGCCTTAGCGTGCCTACACATCTGCACAGAGAAGGAGAAGAGGTTGAGAGGAGAAAGTAGGCAGCAGCAGCAGCACAGAATAAACCCAAAGAGCCACGGCAGGCAGAGAGAGAACACAGGACAGACAGACACACAGAAAAGGAGGGAATGAGCAGGGAGAGGAAAAACGAGATGGTGCAGGAGAAAGGGGGTGAGTGGGAGTTGAACATAGTGTGAGGCGAAGCAGAAGACAGACCAGGAAGACAGAGGACACACAGCAGAGGAGGCTGGGCGGGGGGAGGGGGGTCCCATCATGCATTTCAAGACTACGATGCCATGCGGAGGGTGGGACATTCGCATGAGCACGTGACGGGCCCACGGGCCAAAGCTGTGAAGGTTCTGTGGTCATGGCAATGTTGTGCTTCTTCTGGGGTCCTGTCTACAAGGGGGGTCTGGGTGAGGGGCGTCCACTGCCTGAGCTAAGCCTGCTGATGAAAATGTTCAAATCCTCAATGTCTGCAGCGTGGATGGTGCCCTTGCACTGTGGTACCCATGTGTAGTACGGAACCTGCATGACTGGACTTTAACCTCAGGCTTCCCTGAGCAAAACTGGGCCAGGACACTTGAAGGGACTCACAGCTGCCCACTCCCTCTCTCCCTCTTCCCAGGATTGTGCTTATGTCTGGGAACACAGAGTGCAGAGGGACCGCATGGGGGTCCCAGGCAGGATATAGGAGCGAAGGCACCAGGGCCGAAGGGGCTTTGAACAGATCTGCTAAATCACGCCTTTGAGTGGGAGAGAGGGGAGGGCGTTATGATGCCTTTGCAAAATGGGTATGTGAAGACAGATGTCTACCCAGATCCACCCCGGCTGGTCTCATGCACACAGCCCCTCCTGCATAAGCCACTCATCTGGCTCCCAGAAGGTGAGCTCTTGTCCAGTTTTCTCGGTAACAGCAGAGGAGGATGAGAGAAGGAGCAGAGGTGTGGGTGGGAGAAGAGCCAAGCCAGAACAGCTAGGGGCCTACTCTACCAAGGAGACCAGGCCATCCAGATACCTGTCACCAGGGAAAGGCGGGGGTGGGCAGGAGGGCATGGTCTGGGATCCGGAATGAGGTGTGCTGGGCATGGAAGGAGCAGGGGGCCCCAGGTACCTTCTGGGCTCCAGAGAAGGCATGGTAGAAGCTGGACACATACGTCATGATGGCTTTCTCATCCGGCCGGGCTGTGCCGACGATGTCTGTCGAGAAAAATCTGGAGTTACAGCCAGCTGGTGAACACACGGCACACCTCCTACTGTGATGCACAAAGCAGCTCGCGGCACCATGAAGTCTTCTTGCCAAAGTGTTGAGCCTAAATCTAACCAGCCTCTGGCGTCACCTGGCACTCATAGGAGTATGAGAGGTGGAGGAAGGAGAGAAACGATGCCCAAGGAAGCAGACAGATGCACCCAGAATAAGGAACATTCTACAGGACTGCAGACCCAGTTCCTGCAAGTTCAATGGCAGGAATAAAAGGGACTGAGGAGAGGAGAAAAGGGCTACAGATTAGAAAAGACGCAAGGAATATGACAACTAAATGCCACACGTGCACCTTGTTTGATCCTGATAAAAAACAAACCAACTCTCCAAGACACGTTTTCAACAACTAGGGAAATTTGATTATGAACTGGTCAGTAGATGTATCAAAGAATTATTATCAGTTTGCTAGATGTGAAAATTGTTTTATGGTTACATAAGAAAATATCTATATTTTTAAGGTATGCATTATGTAGTAGGGAAATGATGTGATGTCTGAGACTTGCTTTAAGATATTTCAACAAAGAAAACAAAACAAGAAAAAGTAAATATAAAAAAAATCTCAATAATCGTTGCATCTTGATGAGGGGTATAAAAAAGTTCATTGTACTATTCTATTTTTGTATGTGTTTGAAAATTTTCCCCCTGACATTCTGAAATTTAAAAGCCGCTGGTGGGTCGGGAAGCAGAAGGAAGGGGGTGGTCCTGGATCCCACCACAACCCTTTCCCGCTCCTCACACTGAGCAGGCGCACTCCAAAACAGCGCCCGAGCAGCTGGGGCCAAGGGGGACACCAGAAGGAAAGTGGCCATGGTGTGTCAGGCTTCTCCCGACGGGCAAGGGCAGAGGAGGGGACAAGAAGACCTAGACTGATCCCAGCCTTGAGGCAGCCCACGGGCCCCTCCTGAGATGCCTTCCTTCCCCTACGACCTCCACTCCCCGCGTCAGAGCTGCTCTGTATGCTGAGGGGTGAGGCCGAGTTTCCAGCCCCAGGACCGTATATTTGGTAAGGTGTTCTTGAGTCACGCCCTGAACCTGTCCCCATGTAGGTGGCCTGGCTAGCAGGGTCTGAGACACACAGGCCTCAGCGAGAAACAGAAAAGTCAACACCAGATTGGGTTCCCTCCTTCCCTACCTTGCATGGCAGCCACTTGCTCTGCCAGGATCTACTAAGCAAGTGGTTGAGAGGCAGAAACCTCCAGCACCAGGAAAGTCCCTCCCCAGAATGCAGAGGAAGAGGGCCAGTCCCCAGGGTTGAGAAGACTTTGAAGGTGTCAAGAGCAAACACACACCAGCCCCCAGTCACAGTTGGGGCATGGAGAGGACACTATGCTCAGCAGTCTACAGACCACCCCAGCACTCAGAGGGTTAAGACAGTGAGCCTTGCAGGGTCCCTCTCAGCCAGTGGCCCCTCCTGTCCCAAACTGTGTGCAGGAGTTGGACAACAAGGGAACACTCCACCCCAGCCCAGCACCCACTTCCCAATGCCAGGACAAAGATGAGAGCCACCCTCGGGCCACCGAAGCAAGAACAGCCTCACAGCCCTTTGCATGATCAGCTCTCACCTGTCCCTCCAAACCTCAGGGAACTACAGAATCCCTGACATGCAAGTGACCCCCAGGCTTCTCAAGTGAGGTCCCAGAAGACCAGGCCTTCTCCCTTCCTACCTCAAGCTGCTCGGGCCCCCACCTAGCTGTTGGGTGGCAGGTGGGGGAAGAGCTGGAGGCACAGAAGGAAAGCACTTTTTACCTTCAGCATCCAGCATCTTGGGGATGTCCAGGTACTTCTCTGCCACATCAAAGGCCGTGTTCAGATTTGTGAGTGGATCGTCCTGTGAGGAGAAGAGGAGGAAGGGATGATAAAGTGACAGTCCTGACAGTCATGACAGTCACTGGCTACTCTCAATTGGAGGGTAGAGGGGACTTTGCACCAGCCCCTCCCAGGCTCAATCCTCAGGGCACTTCTGGGTGTAGAAGGCTGGTCTCCCCACCAGGGCTCATTGGCTGGGGGTTTAAAATGTTCTCCTTGGGGTTAAGAATAGTGGTCTGCAGCCCGAGTGGGGTTAGGGAACAACTGCTGAGAATTCACAGCAGCCCCGGCCTCTGGTTTCAGCCCTGCCTGGTTCCAGCAGGATGCGTGGGTAAGGAACCTGACACCACCTGTAAATCAAGAGTTGGAACAGGAGCCCCTTTGGTGTTCAAATTCCATAAAGTTTTGGAGATCCTTCAAATAGCCAAAGCATTTTGACTATTCCAGCTTTTTGCTACCTTCTCAAGAAAACTTAATGGGGATGGGCAAGGACGTGGAGACACTGGAACCCTTGTGCACGGGAATGTAACATAGACATAGACAGGGACGTAGAACGGAGCTGCTGCTGTGGAGAGCAGTGTGGCGGCTCCTCAAAAGGTGAACACAGAACTACCACGTGACCCAGCAACTCCACTTCTGGGCATATACCTGAAAGAATCAGAAACAGGGTCTTGGACAAATATTTGTACACCCATGTTCACAGCAGTGTTATCTGCAATAGCCAAAAGGTGGAAGCAACCCAGGTGTCCATCAATGGATGCCTGGATAAGCAAAACATGGTCTATCCTTGCAATGGATTATTATTCTGCCTTAAAAAGGAAAGAAATTCTGATACATGCTACAACATGGGTAAACTTTGTGCTAAGTGAAATAAGCCAGACACAAAAGGCCCAGAACTGTATGATTCCACTTTTATGAGGTACTAGGAGTGGTTAAATTCACAGAGACAGAATGCAGAGTGGTGGCAGCCAGGGGTTATGGGGGAGGAAAGAATGGGGACTTATTGTTTAATGAGTACAGTTTCAGCTTCAAAAGATAAAGAATTATGTTTGAAGCCAAGGTAAATAAAAAAAATTTTAAAAAGAGTTATGGCGATGGATGCTGGTGACAGCTGCCCAACACTCTGAATGTGCTTTTAAAAAAAATCTCTCAGTGAAGAGAGCTCACTTCTGGACCCCCCACTCTATTCTCAGTTTCCCAGACTAACCTAAAGCAAGCTGGTTTTGTCAGCCCAAGACTCAGTTTCCCTGTTTGCTAAAGTAAGAATTACAGAGTAGAAAAATAAATACATTCATTTTAGGATGTTTTCAGGAGGAAATTGCTCAAAATAGAGAAGTGGAGTCCTTCTGGGAAAGTGTCTGACAGCAGCCAGAATGATAAAAAAAGCTGCCAAGCAGGGAAGGTCACTTCCGTCCAAGACTGTCCAGCAGCTGCCAGTGCTCAAGCACCAGGAGCACACCCGCCCGCCCCCCACATCCACCCCACACTGGTGCACAAAGGAAGAACTTCCCCGGCTCTCCCCCGTTCCCAAGCACCACTCAGCTCTGGCAAACTGTTTTCTGGAAAGTATTCATGGTTCACCGGGACTAGGTCTGTGCTAGCATTAGGGCTGGAGTTTACTGATGGTACTGAATTAAAGATAGGGGTAGACAGAGACACACTGAAACAGGGAAAAAGGAGAAGGGATAAATAAAAAGATGGAGAAGGACAGAGGTGGAGAGAATGCTAGCTGGGTACCAGACAAGTCCCCTGGACCTCGCCTCCCAAATGGGTGAAGCCTTTGGAATGAGGAAGGGGACTCTAGAGCCATGGTCGGCACAAGCCCCGTTTTTCATGGAGGTGGGCAACAGGTGTGGATTAACTGGCCACTGCCACCCCAGTACACCCAAGCAAGGACACAGATCCACGCATACCTGTCACTAAAGCATATCAGCTTGACAGGAAGGAGGTAGGTGATGATGCCTTTAGAAGCAAAAATTACCACCTCTGGAATTTCCAACCCCACCCCCACCCCCGGGCTCTGTTTGATTTGACCACACAGCTTTCAGGCAGGTCGGGGGAACTCTCGAGGTGATTTTTTTCCCTTATAGAGCAGCTGAGTTAGAGAAATAGGAAGGTCTGGCCCCTGCTGTCCACATGGACCTGGACACAGCCACACACAGGGCCAGATGATGGGCTCCTCTCCTTCAGCAGATGGGCCCTTCCAGGCAGGCAGAGGCTCCAGCCCCCTGCTGCAAGTGACTAGAGGGTGGGAAGCTGCTCCTTTCCTCCCCCAGTCCTTCTGGCAGCTCACTCACTCACACCCTAGAAACGGAGGACCTGCCGCCACAGGAGTTGCCAGAGCATCTCCTACACCGGCAGCATCCAGCCTTGCCTGGCCACCAGGAAGCAAGAGGCCCTTTCCTGGGGACACAGGCCAGGCTGAGTCTTCACTGAACACTGCATCCTCCAAGTATCAAGACAAGTAGAGAAACACAAGGCCGGTTCCTCCTAGAAGCCCCTCACCAACAGATGCGTGTGTAGACGGGTGACATTCCCCCTCAAGCACCACATCAACAAGGGCTGTAGGAAGGCTCCAGAGTGGCCTCTCCCTACCTGCCTGTGCCACATGACTTCTTGGTGCTGGTGTGGGCCGAGAGGGAAGATGGTGGGTATAGTCACAGTGGCCTGGGACAGGCCTCTCCAAAGTCAAGGCCAGTGTCCTTTAACCATTTCAGACACCAAGAACCACCAAGAGACTAGAAATTCAGCTTCCACCTCTTCTGCCTCCTCCACACACATGCTCAAGAAAATCACCCAGCAGTTTCATGCAAAAGCAAAAATGAAACCAAGCAGCACCAAAAGAAAATCCCCCAGCCAAACTTTGGGAATGAAGGACACCAAATCCAAGGGTGGGATAACCTGCCCAAGACCACACAGCGGGTCAGGGACAAGGGTGGGATAAGATGTCTCTTAGATATGCAATATTTAAAAGAATGAAAGTAACAGCTCCATCTTACAAAACACGGGAACAGAGAGAGCACTGCCACCTACATTCCCTCTCCATGACAAAACCGCCACCACGGTTCTGCTGTCTTTGCTGGCGGGCTGTGTGTGTGCGAGTACACACGTGCTGAGCACACAGCAATGCATTGGCTCTGACAGGGGACGAGGTGTTCTGCTCACTTCTAGATGGGGCAGTCTGGCTGGTCCAAGAGGCCAACCCCCCTCACGCTGGGCCATGGGCTCTCAACCAGGGACAGTGACAGAAGACCGGGCGAGCTCACATACCTTCCGCAGCTTCCCGTAGTCAATCAGCTCGGGCCGGTGTCGGTGGATCAAGGCACAAAAGCCGAGGCCGTCCTTCCAGCTGTCCGGGAGAAAGAAGGTGGGCCAGGTTGATGAGCGAGGCCTGGCAGCCGAGCACTAACCCGAGCAAGGCAGCCGGTAGGGGCTCCTTTACCCCAGAGATGAATACAGAACTCTTCACGGCAGGGGTTAGAAGACAGGACCAAAAGGGACATTTCTTCCTGCCACATCCCCGGGCACTGGGGTCAAAATTTTATGGGGGGTTGACAAGTTGAGATAAACCTGCCACATGTAACCCTGCCCCCCACCAAGGTCTATGGCCCTAGCATGTGCTGTTCTGGCTGGGATTTCCTGGACATTCTCCTCGGGGGATCTTCCCAGTAGCACAAGCATCAACCAAAGGTGTATCAGGCAGTAGCCGTGTCCAAGACACTGTGTGAAGGGAGAGGGGAAATTCCAAGGGACAGGGAGACCCCCTTTTCAGGAAAAGCTACTTCTTCCCCCAAGAGAAGCTCTCTCTCTGTTCTAGAACTGAGACTGACCCAGCCAAGGGGGCCTGGGGGTTCCTGGGGGAGGCAGCCTGGGTTCTGCAAGAGCCCCTCAGCACCACCACCACTCACCTTATGTGGAAGTTCTGGATGTTGACATTTTTGTAAGGGGCTGTCTTTCTCTGACACCACAAGAGCAGCCCTTCCTTGGCCGAAGTCTCTGTGGGGAAGGGGACAAGTGGAAAGGTCAGTGGCTGACTCAGTGAGGGGAGGGGCGCTGGCTCACGGGAGGCCTCACCGTGACCCCTAGTTTCCCATCTTGAGGCTACCAAGGAAGGAAGAAGCCATGGCCATCAAGTCTATTTCTTTGACAAAGTTTGAGAAGTTATTTGAGAAACAGAAAAGCAATCTAGGAAGGGTCTCAGAGCTAGTCACATTACACATTGAAATTCTGAGATAATAGCCTTTCAACTTTTCGGAATTATCTCCCCCTACTCCCTTTTGTTCAATGAAATGGTAGTGATACAAAATGAGTTGGCAACCTCCGTCAGGTGCCCACTATGTGGAGGATGGTTTGGCCTGGGAAATCTAAGCATCTAGGAGTCTGCAGTCAGGGGATCGTGCAGCCTGCAGAGTACACACGGCTGAGTGGGAAAAAAGTGTTAGGACTTCTACCCAGATTTTGTTTTCATCTAAAAAATAAAGTTTCTTTACATTCACTGCATGGATTGAGACTGGTGCCCTCCACTGCTATGCATGGAGCAGTCACGTGTCTGGGAAGGCAGGCATCTGAGGAGACCCGGGGAACTCCAGCTCAGGAAGGCTGCAAACTGCTCTGCCCTCATGTGTTCACACCTATGAATTGCAGGTTCGGACACCCAGCAAAGTCGGTTCATGGGTGACCTCACTGTCAACTCACAAAATGGACTTATATGAAAGGGTTCCTAAAAGGTGCTAACAATTCAAGCACAAGAAAACAATTTAAAGATTGGTAAAGCTAATGCTTCTCCTTAGTTCCAGCTCTTTGTCAACTATATTCACAAGATTAAAACAATGATGATTAAAGAAGTCCACCCAAAAGAGTAAAAGTCCAGAAGGCTATTTGAAAAATGACTTACATCCACCATCCCTAACAAGAACCATGCCCTTGGTGACTACTGTGAGTCTCTTTACAATCACTTCAGCCCTAAATACTGGGTACCTACAAACCAAACTTAGACCTTCACATTGCTGTGTCAAAGTGTCAAACCAAGATTTCTGTAATAAAACAATTTAATCCACATTGTTTTCATTAGGAAATTCCTTTGACTAGAAATATTTAAGATTTCTATGCCATTACAAAGTGAATTTTTTAAATTTTTTAAATGTTACCTGCATCTTATCTTTAAAAAATTTGTTTTGGTTTGTATTTATCATCTGCACAGTAATACAGAAATATTACATAATAAATACATGCATATCCAGACATAAAGCTCAAAAACTGGAGGAGCGGGAAATCAAAGTTGAGAGAGCTCACTGCCCCAGACCATGGTGGCCCTTGTAGATCTATGAAGCGGCCACCAGAGGGTGCTATGGGATCAAAGTGGAGGCCTGGGGTCAGCTCCCCCTCCCCACTCTCCCTCCGGGAGGCTATTTCCCCACCCTTAGGGATTAACAACCCAAGAGCTAGGTGGGGTTTCCAATACACTTCCCCACAGCAGCCTTGGGGACTTTCTGTGGGGCCATGAAGCCCATGAGAATCAGCACCCCAAATAGTTCTTCCTTTTCTAAAACAGGCTAGGAGAGAGAGCAGATGCCCAGAAATGGACAAGATGCCCAGGACATGGCCCATGATCAAGCGTCCATTGCCCCAGGTAAGGGAGTTCTCCCAGGGAGAAAGATGAAATGGTGAACGCGGCGGGGAGCTGTGAGCTTGGGGAAGGAAGGGACAAAGCAGAAATCCACCTTCAACGGAGATGTCCTGGATCGCAAAGCGAAGGATGATGGTCCAGATCATGCCCAGGGTCATTTTCACGTTCCCATCCACGATTTCTGCAGAAACAGCAGCAGGACAATTAGGATGGGTCTTAGCAGGGACAGAATTAACATTCCAGGAGCACCCATATCACTCCATGCACCACACTAAGAAGCAAAAACTACAGAGCTCTACTTCCAGAGGAAACAGAAGGTTTTGTTTTGTAAGTTGGTGCCATAAACTGTGACAGGTGCCAGGAAAGAAGTCTATTTGGGGCACAAGGAAGTCAATTCCACTTGGAGACAGTGGGTACATCAGGAAAAGCTACTGAGAAGGGGGTGTCTTACAGCCTGAACTGTGCTCACCACCCTGACAGAGAAGAGGGGGAGGAATTCTAAGCCATCACAAATATCCTGGCAACTCCGTGAGCTGGGGCCTCTGGGCAGTCAGCTCTCACAATAGCATCCACACACAGAAAGCCAGTGCGAGCAACACAAAGTCACAAACTTAAAGTTTTATAAACTGCCATCTTGAATGATCCACCAACCTACCTCATAATGCCATGAGTTTGGGCATTAAGTCAGATATTTAAAAAAAAAAAATCAACAGCTTCAAGATCTCGACTAAGAGATACCCAGCGTATTCAGTCTAAGTACTTTTTAGACTTTTAAATGCTATAAACCCTATCTAGTAAATTTTTTTCTGTACCAAGCCTAGAGGCAGGGAATACAAACACAAATAAGCCCTGTCTTTAAGAAGCCTATGAAATGGAGCTATTTATGGTCTTGGTGGCTGATGAGGTGACACTCAGATGTAGACTTCTGACCCTCACCTGCTTCCAGATCAGGAGACAGTAACCTGGCCCACACGGTAAGGTACTCTCCATTAAAAGTAAGGTACGCAAGGGTGGGCCTGTTAGCTCTGTTGGTTAGAGCACAGAGTGTAACACCATGGTCAAGGGTTCGGATCCCTTTACCTGCCAGCCACCAAAAAAATTATTAAATAAATAAAAGTAAGGTATCTAAAGAACATCGTAGTTTCTCTCACCCATAGCACTAATGTTAGGGGAATCACAACAGAACCACACACAGAGGCAACTTCCAGGGAGTACTGATTTCCTTTTTTTTTTTTTGTCTTTTTGTCTTTTTTCGTGACCGGCAACGGATCGCAACCCTCAGTGTTGCGCCCGTACTGGACCG